TTATAACAACTATGAACAATAATGAACAACTAATGAGCCTTCCAGCATCAAGCCCTCCTCGTATCTGGACCTCCGTCTGGACAATCCGACAGCCTTGATATCCGACATAGAAGAAGGTTTTACATTTAGTGTCGGATCATCGAGTCACGACTGTATATAGATAATTATATATATTTATAGTGTTTAACAAATTCAGCAGCTGGTCTAATACATCTGTTAAGAACTGTCAATTATTTCTAAATTAATGTAGTGACTAAATTTCAGCGCACCAGTCAGGACTGTAGAGCTCCTGACGTGTCCACCTAGAGCAGATTTTCAGGTTCAGTTGTTGGCATCAGTCTGAGGCTCATTACGGAGCCGAGCAGCAGCCAGACATCAGTCCCGCTCCCTCAGGACCCAGTCCTCGGAGGCCCTGCAGATAATGCCGTTCTCATCTGCTGCTCGGACCTGTGCGTGCGTGACCGAGTGTGAAGACGTGTGTGCGTGTCCGTGTCCCTAAAGACGTTGTCTTTGTTGTGTTGTGTGTTGTCTTTGTGCTGTGTAGCAGCTGTGCTCAGAAATGCTTCAGTGAGCCCACACAGGCTGTTCAGCATTCGTGCAGGATGTCAGAGTTATCCACCATCACGCTGTAAGTGTGTGTGTGTGTGTGTGTGTCTCGTGTCGACCGCATGTGTGTGTGTGTGTGTGTGTGTGTGTGTTTGTGTTTTACACCAGAGGCTCCTAAAGTCTTTGTTTTCCAAATGTGTAATCACACTTATAGACACAGAATGTATTTGTAGTCCTTGTGCTTGTGTGAACATACGTATGTTTTAAGTTTTAAGATCTGGTTTTTGTTTCTCGTTCTGGTTTGAATCATCACAATGAAGACATGATGTGGGATCACTGACTTTCTTGCTCAGAGTGAAACGCAACCTAATTATCTGTCAGAGCAGCATAATAAATTATTATTAATAAATGTAGAGCTTTACTGATTAAATAAACAACATCATCATGTAAACTGGTGAGGTTTAGATTTTGCTTTAGATGATTATTATTTGCACTCGTATATTAATAATAATGATCTGCTTCATGATAAACGTCCAGATGTCCAGATCGGCGGGTGGTCTTCCCCTTTAACTCTCAGCAAGAAACCGTCCCATCAGGCCCCCTGGGGGCGCTGTGATGTGTCACTATGTTTGTTGTCTGTACTTCCATCTGCCATCTCTGTCAGCTGCTGTTGTCGGCTACGTGATGCACGCTGCAGACACAGAGGCTGCAGTCAAGTACTGCACATGGCGGCGGCTGCATGCTTCCTGCCGGCCTCTGAAGCTCCAAATCCAAACGTCCAGAGCAGTAGAGTGAACGTCACTCACGAAGGTCTGGTGTTTTTCTTACTGTCAACAAATGCTGTTAAATGTTAGTCCATCGCCTCGTGCAAACCTGATTAAGAGCCTCGTTAATTTGCTCGTACAGCTCTGCAGATTCGAGCGAACTCAAACAGGAGGAAGTGATGCGTTCGAGTCAGACTGTTTTTAGCTCGATAGTGTACGTGGGCCGGACTCAGAATAAAGCAGGTTGGTTTAAATGAAGGAGCAGCAGCGTGACTCACTGGGCTGTGGAGGACGACGGCGCTGTGTGGAAGCAGACACAAGTCTGTTTATCGGCTTTGTTTTCCTGATGCTTGTTGACAATAAGAAAAACCACCAGCAGCCTCATCGTTTAATCCTGACACTCAGAGAACCGTAGCGGATCAAACTTGCTAATTGGGATCTTGTTCAAACATCTCAACCTGCAGCAGAAGCGTGTTCCCACGTTGCAGCAGCGGTGCAACTCTTGCATCACCTCCAGCTGTCCAGCAGCAGCAGCAGCGACTCCACATTCAGTGGCTGTGGTGTGTGTTGGACGTGCACCTCGATCGTGTTGAACTGTGTGTGTTCGCTGTGTGTGTGTGTGTTCAGGCGTCTGGCGCGCTCCACCCTCCTGCTCATCCCCCTGTTTGGGATTCACTACACTGTGTTCGCCTTCTCGCCCGAAGACGTCAGCAAGAGGGAGCGGCTGGTCTTTGAGCTGGGCCTGGGATCCTTTCAGGTACGCTGCTCCGACAGACACCAGGTGATGAATGAGAGAAAAGAATGAGGTGATAAGTCATCCGAGTGTACGAGATGCACATCGTTAGGAGAGAGCTGGTGATGTTCAAAACCGCCGTCATCATCCCAGAAGTTTACATCCTCTGTATAAAAAGACATCAAACCTTTTATTCTCACCGTCTGACATTAAATCAGACTAAACTTTATTTCTATTTGCTAAA